ACTCCACATCTCTAATGCTTTCCCCGTCTGCTACCCCAGGCTGCTACTTTGACGGCGACAAGACGTGGCGAGGAGCCGGCACCCGGTGGCACCCCGTGGTGCCCCCCTTTGGCCTGATCAAATGTGCCATCTGCACCTGCAAGGTACCACTGAACCCGTGCCCAGGGAGCCTGGCGCTGGGCATGGCTCCTCCACGCATGGCCCTGCATTTCAGCAGGGAGCGGGACCTGGGCAGGACAGGAGACGGTGCCTTGGGGCTGCCTGTGGCATGGAGGAGCGCTGCAGGGATGGGATCCATGGGGCAGGCGAGAGCCCAGCGTGGGGGGATGGGAGCAAATGTGCCCTCTGTCCGTAGCGAGGCCCAGTGACTCTCTTTCCCCTGGGGGGCCTGTCCAGCCCCTCTGCAGCTGGCGTATGGCTCCTCCCCCTTGGCACCAGGCGGGGTCCGGGCTGCGATTCTGGCCTGGGGTGCCCCGCGGCCTCAGCACACCCCTCCTGTCTCCCCGCAGGGCGCGACGGGGGAAGTGCACTGTGAGAAGGTGCAGTGCCCACGCCTGACCTGCAGCAACCCCGTCCGAGTCAGCCCGTCCGACTGCTGCAAGCAGTGCCCAGGTGCGTCCTCCAGCCGGGGCGGGGGGGCATCCCAGCTGGGCCGGGAGCGCCCCGCTGTGCCAGGCCCAGCATGCACATACAAGCTGCCCTGGCTGAGATGGGGGGGTCCCATCGTGCCAGGCGCTTGGCTGAGATCAGGGCCCTGTGGTGCTGGGCCCTGTTGTGTAAGGTCCCTGACGTTCCCACAGGAGCATAGGCCTGGGTCCTGCTCCAGAGGGACCCCTCGGGGTGAGGCAGGGTGCTCACAGCCCCTGGGCTCATTGGCTGTGGGGTGCCCATCGGAGCAGGTACCTCGGGTCTGAGCTGGATTTGAACCCGCCTCCCCTCGGCTGCCAGAGCGTTCCATGTAGGGGGCCAAGTGCAGGGCAGGATGGGCCTCCCTTCTTGATCCCATGCTGCTCAGCTGTGCCAGGCTGCAGCTCCGGCCCCATCTCAGCCTGGGCATCCTCTGCCCCTGGGCCGGGGCCAGGCTGCTTGGACTCTGGCTGCATCCTCCTCCCGGCCACCCGCACCAGGGAGCCAGCTGCTAAGGCAGGGAGCTGGGAAGAAGCTTGACCACGCCTGACCACTAGGGGGAGGTCTTACTCCTCCTTGGAGGCAGGAGGCCGGGTTAGATGGGCCCCTGGTCTGATTCAGTTCCTGCTCCCCACCCCTCTTGCCTGCTACCTGATTCTGCCAAGTCTGTGGAAGCTCGGTCTCCTGCCCATGCCACGTGCCGGGCACACTGCCTTGGGGGGTGGGGGGGCGTCTCGCTGGTTCTGCACCACGGCAGAGGGCATCTGGGTCTCTGCTCCCTGCAGCTCCGGAGAAGAGCCCCCCAGAGCTGTCGGACATGATGCAGGCGGATGGCCCCCGGCCCTGCCGCTTCGGGCGCCAGTGGTACATGAACAACGAGAGCTGGCACCCCACGGTGCCCCCCTTCGGGGAGATGAAGTGCATCACCTGCTGGTGTGTGGTGGGGGCGGGGGGCTGTCCTCCCCCCCCCCCCCCAC